AATGGATGGATGGATGGATTGTGATAAGAGTTGCATGAGCCTCCAATAAAATGATTTGGAAAAAAAAAGAAAGAAAAATAATTTTTGAAAAGTGAAGGACTTCCCAGAGGCATAAGCCAAGTCTTCATTCATGGCCATCAAGTAGATTCACAGCAGCCTATAGGACACAGCAGAACTGCCCTTTTGACTTTCCAAGATTGTAACTCTTTACAAGTTGACTAATCTTTCTCCCAAGGAGCAGCTGATGGTTTCGAACTGGTGCCCTTAGGGTTAGCAGGTCAATGTGGAATCCATTATACCATCAAGACAAAAATTCACCAGAAAGCTTTCTCTCCTCCACTCAGGACAAAGAAAAGATGGCTTACCTAAAGACATAAGAGGGCTAGAAATGGGGGTTTTATTCTCTTTCAAAATAGCTGGCCAATTAAAACACACACTAATGAATCAGGATAACTAATCTTATCTTTGGGTGTGAGCCAAAGATAGGAAGGGCAAGGCAGAAAATTTTGAAGAATTTTTCCCAGCTAGGTGCAGTTATTTTAAGAAATCTTCAAATCTTAGATACAGATTTAGGAAAATGGATGAGAGTTTGCATGAAAACAGCATTTTGGAACAAATAACTTCAGCAGTCATTAGGTTTTTAGTATGTAGGTCATTTCAATACCTTGATGTCATTGCCTGGTGTTAATGTGAGATACTGGTGGTCTGTCCCTGGCATTTTTCTGAAGGTCACACGGAGCTGCCAGCATTTTCAGGGCGGCGTTAGGAGTCACCACCATGGCACAAGACAAACTCAAGAACGACCAAACTGCCCCTTTTGACAGCCGCTTCCCCAACCAGAACAAAACGAGGAACTGCCGACAGAAGTACCGGGGGTCCACTGCTAAAGAAGGCAATGAGTGTACATACAAGTCGCTTTGCCCCATATCCTGGGTGTCCACCTGGAAAGACCGCTGGGCTGAAGGCACCTTTCCTGGGAAGGTCTGAACTGCTCTTCCTACTTCTCTCCTGGGATCCTGAATCATCACCTAACTAATAATAACAACTCATTAGAAAAGTGTAAAAAACAAATAACTCGAATTAATGGAAAAAAAATAATTAGTTCAATGTCAACGAATTCTTTTTCAATACAATGACTGTGTATTCATCTCATCTTCTTTTGATGCTTTTTGCATTGTTCAATGTTTTTTCTCCCATAGAATCCTTTAATATTGCAACTCAAGGTTTGACTTATTTTCTTCAGTTCTTTCATATTGAGCATGTTTCTCCAAGTCCAGGCCTTTGCACATTTAATCCTACTCAGAGGTGAGGACCTCGCACACAGTACAAAACGGAGGACAACCACAGAATACTTGTTGGGAGTCACAGCCTAGCCACCCCCTGACACATCTCTTGGGGTGTGGGAAAGGGACACTCTTCAATCCAAGACAAATACTTCTTTTTATATAACCACAATGACTTTCACACACTTTCAATATTAGTAGCAATCATTATTTGATAATATCTAGTACTCATTCCATACACAGACTTTCCTGAATGTCTTTAAAATATCCTCAAACTCACCGGTAGCCCCTGAACATAAGGCCCAAACTATATGTTGTGAGAAGAAACAGCAGACATAGAACTGGCGGTTGTTGGACTGCCATGTACTTACTACTTCAATGCCCTTCTTGCTTTATGAAGATTCATAGTACTCTGGTACTATCAATGAATAGTTCTTCCACTGTCAATGAATATGATTGAAAGTTTTGTCTTACGACTCACCCCATTGCTTGTGTAAATAGTATCTAGTCACTGAAGCATTTAGCCTGTACAAGATAATCATTCATGTATCTGGCTCTATAACTAGCCTACACTTTCTCAACTGTGCTTTCCATTCTTTACCAGTGGCTGAATTAGTGACATTATCCACAGAATGACCTCATGCTCCAGAGAGATGACTGACAATGCTCTCTAAAAGGACAACCGATCTGTATCCAAAGAAGTAAGGCCAGAGGGCTTCTTAGGATGGCAAGACTTCATCTCACATGCTTTGGACATGTTGTCAGGAGAGACCAGTCCCTGGAGAAGGACATCATGTCTGGTAAGGTGGAAGGGAGGCAGAAAAGAGGGAGGCCCTCAAAGAGATGGATGGACACAGTGGCTGCATCAGTGGGCTCGGGCATAGGCACCATGGTGAGGCTGGCACAGGGCCGGGCAGTGTTTTGTTCTGTTGTACATAAGGTCACTGTGGGTCTGAGCTGACTCAAGGCATCTGTGGCACTTACATAATCTGTCAACTTGAGCAATGGGGTGGAGTCTAGTCTGTCAATCAGGTCATAGCCAGTGATGCCTGTGTGTGGGCATGGCCTTCTCCTGAGGATTCTGGGAACTGCTGTCTTCCTCCCTGGAGGTGGGACACACCTTCTCTCTGCCTCTCATTTCTGTTGACACACCACAAGGAGCCACGCTGATGACAGCCAGAGACCTAGAGACACATCCACAGTTCTTTCCACCCACCGGCCTGTGATCTTCCTGCTTGGGCAGGCTGCCACATCTCTCTCCCAAATGGCTTCAAACCACCAACCTTTGGGCCAGCAGCCAAGTGCTTCACCACCACACTACACCCTTACTGAATCAAAAAGGAGTTTTTTCTGGAAGCATGGACCTCTCAGTTTCGGTCCATCTGATGCTTCCTCTGATGAGATTCGGGTTCTGCTCTTTGGCAGGAGTGCCACAGAAGGGATGCCAGGGCTCGTCAAACGCTGGCACGTGGTGCGTGGCTTCAGTGTGTCCATTGCTGACGGTGTTTGCCTTGATGTGTTGAATGGGCGGGTGTCTGCCAGGTTTCTCCATCGAAAAGCCACTCTTTCCCCCTGGGTAATCAGGAAGTCTAGTGCAACTTTGTAATATCCTGTTACTTTTCTAAACTTTCCCTTGCTACTTTCAGCCTCCATTGATGTTTCTTGACTGACTTAATTATAACTATGAAGCCTGCCAAATTTTCGGATCCCATCACTCCTACCGTATTTATTAGTTGGCATTTATTAGTTGGCATTCTGTTATGAGGAAAAGCTTTGTCATCTCCTTGCCTGTTTATGTAAGTGCAGACTCATGGATTCCTATTTTATTTACTGAGTTGCAATTGTTACTGACTTTGATGCTCAAATCACCTCAGACTTGACCTGGGAGGGCCATCCAGCCTAGCTTCGGTGTCCTGTTGACAATTCGAATCATTCTCGGAGCATGCCCTTGATGTCTGATACAACAAGAGGCTCCAGGCTTGTCTTATGCTTTTCCTTCCCAGACCTGGTGCAGCCTCTTCTCGAAGGACCTCTGGCTCCTTTGCAAGATGGTAGTGTTTAGAAGTCATAATCTGGGCACTCGGTGCACCCTGGGCTATTAGATACCACTGCTCCCAGACCCTCTCTGTGGACAGGGTTAACAAACGAACCTCTTCCTCTGTGCAAAATTTCACCTGCATTTATTTTTATTGCGGTCTCTACTTGTAGATGGGAAACCATTAGTTCCTAATGATATGTCCAATTCCAATGCAATATCATAGGGTTTGCTCCCGTTCCTAACTCCTTTCTCCAACAGCTAGCACCCTAAATCCCATCGTCCTTAATACACTTGCTTCTTTGAGCAACGCCCATATGTCCCCAACCTCAGGTCGACGCTGCCCAACCGCTCCCGTACAGATGCCTTCTGACCCTTCCCATTTACCTCGAATGCTTCCCAATCACGGACACCTGCCCGGTCCGGCCACTCTTAATGGCTCTTGGACTGAATAATTTAAGAAGGAAGGAGGGAGAGAGCTATGGAGGGAAAGAGGGAAGAGAGGAGGGAAGGAGGGTGGAGGGAAGGGGAGGCGGAAAGCAAGTAAGGCTCCATTGATTCTCAAATCTACTCGAATCAGAACACAGTGCAAGGCCACCAGCCACTTTCCCAGGGTTGTTTTCTCAGTCCTCATTGTCCCTGCGCTCTCTGCAGCTGTTGATGTGGTTGTCCCCACCTCCCTGGCTCTCCTACTTCATGGTCATGACCTTCACCTGACGGAGGGTCCAAGGCTGTGCTTAGATCCTTTCTCTGCCCACACCTGGCGTCTTATTTATTCCTGTTCCAAGCATAGCCTACGCCAACGTTGTTATCCAGCCCCAGCCTCTCTCCTAACTCCAGACGCACATATCCAATGGCTTTTCCTTCAATTATATGTATAACATAGCCAAAGCCAAACTCCTGGAGGCTCGACTGCTTGATTTTTGTATCCCATCTAGTCTTATACCTAATTTAACAACGTGATGGCTAGTGTTACAAGCCAATGAGACCGGGTCATGATTCTCCGTGTTACATGATATTCTCCACTTTGTGGTCTGATGTGCTTGTCCTATGTGTTGTACATCCCAACCTCTGTCCTATCACTGAGGCAGGAGTCGAGGCAGTTGTATTAATGAGGCAGAATACAACCTATAGGATTAGCTTGTATCTCGAGTCTGTTTCTTTTGAGATATAAAAGAGATTAAACAAGCCAGCAGATACCGGGAGGCTCTAATCACCACTAAGAAAGAAGAGCTGAGAAAGAAGCCTGTCCTTTGGACCTGAGTTCCTTGTACTGAGATCTTCCTCGACCCTGGGGAAGATAGATGCTAAGATACAGGTAGAGCACCAAGGAAGGATGCACTCACAAATGTTGGAATGGGATAAGGACCTTTCTCCAGAGGATGCCTTCTGCTAGAGTCTGCACCCTGAATTCAGACTTCGGGCCTTCTGAACTATGAAAGAATAGGATTTTGTTTGCTAAAACCATGCACTGTTATTTCTGTTGTAGCAGCATCAGATAACTAAAACTGAACTTGGTGCAGGGAGTGGGGTTTGAATCCACGTAGGCACACACCCACTGGACTGGCCGATCATGTGGTCAAGTGGTAGGGCAGCTTGTGTGGCAGCCTTAACTTGTGGCAGCACCTTCTCTTGTTCTGGATCCCATTCCAAACCAGCAGCTTTTTCACTCACGTGACAATTAGGCTGGAGTAGCACACCCACGTGCTGGCTGTTGCCTCCAACATCCAAAGAGTTCCACCAAGTATTGTACCTCCTTTTTGTTTGTAAGAAGTCATACCTCGACATGCACATGCCTCACACCACTGTATTCCTAGAGATTTCTATAAGGTGCCTGAATTTTTGTCAGGTGAATTTTCTACCCTCTATCATGAAAGTGCCTTACCAATAAGCCTAGCATCACGATACTTCTTTCCTGTGAGGTGATGTGGGCATGTCAGCCTTTCCCATAGGGATCTACTGCCTTCTATGAGAATGACTGGTCACTGGGGAAAAGGAAATCATCGAGTTTTGTGTGATGACTGGACATTGTCTCTGAATTGATACTAATTCAAAGAGACCCAATATGTTACTGAGGCTCGATCGTCAGAACGGGATGTACGGACGTCAAGATATTAAAGGAGGCTTAGCTCATGTCCATTTCACAGTCAGTCCAGTGGGTCCAGGAGCCCATCCGGTAGTGCTGTCCCTAGCCCTATCCTGCATAATTGGAATAGACATACTCAGCACGCATCAGAACCCCCGCACTGGATCACTGGCACATGCAGTAAGTTATTATGGGATGAAAGGCCAAGCGGGAGTCATTAGAACTGCCCCTGCCTATGACTAGCATAAACCCAAAGCAATGCATCATTCCTGGAGGAAGTGTGGAGATGACTGCACCATCGAGGACATGAGGGATGCAGTGGAAGGGATCACCACCATGCCACCATTCAACTTGTCTACTTGGCCTTTGCAAAAGACAGAGGGAGCTTGAAGAATGACCATGGATTGTTGTAAACGTAACCAGATGGTGATTCCAATCACCGCTGCTGTTAAAGATGTGGTTACATTGCTTGAGTAAATGAAGACATCCCCTGGTACCTGATATGATTTCAGTTTGGAAGGAATACCAGAAGCTACTTGCTTTCAGCTGGCAAGACCAACAATATACTTACACCCTTCTACAT